TTATGTAGACAGTAAATGTAGGTACAACTTAATGTTTATGTAGACAGTAAATGTAGGCATAGAGTAAATGTAGATACAACTAAATGTTAATATGGACAGTAAATGTAGGTACAACTAAATGTTTATATAGACAGTAAATGTAGGTACAACTAAATGTTTATATAGACAGTAAATGTAGGCATAAAGTAAATGTAGGTACAACTAAATGTTTATATAGACAGTAAATGTAGGTACAACTAAATGTTTATATAGACAGTAAATGTAGGTACAACTAAATGTTTATATAGACAGTAAATGTAGGTACAAATAAATGTTGATGTAGACAGTAAATATAGGTACAACAAAATGTTTATGAAAACATTATATAGTAAATGTACGTAAAAGTGAATTTTTAGTTACACAGAGTAAACATAGGTACAACTAAATTTAAAGGTAGATATCCTGGTAGGGTAAAGATTGAGTGCATATACAGGCAATTGCTCACAAGGTCAACATGTATGTTAAGGTCACCTGAGTGATCTTTGTTATTGTGTTTTGCCTGTTAACAACAGTCATAAAAAAAAAATACCTTCAACTTCTAAGTATTTATGAAACTTGTGTTAAATGCCAACCTGTTGTAGGAATAACATGTATAAATCAGTTGTCACAACAAACACTACCACAAATATAAATCAATTGTCACAACAAACACTACCACAAATATAAATCAGTTGTCACAACAAACATGACCACAAATATAAATCAAGTGATACATTGCACACATGGAGGCATGTTATTAAACAACTTCAGCTGTCTATAGTATGATCAACCAAATACATTCATCGTCTTATGATCCTGCCAGTCGTCACAACAAACACTACAATGGGTTGTGTTTTTACAGATATACCATTAATTCAGAGGCAGTAACAAGTTGAGCAACTCTTAATTACAATACTTAATTTTAATTTTAATGAAACAGTGTACATTTTTTCACTATAGTTACTTTTTTATAATATAAATACTGAACACTTGCACAGTGGAAACTTTCATCATTTTTTTTTTTTTGGACTTTCTCTTCCTTAAAAATGGTTATTGAAAATATTGTGGACAGATTCAGAAAGTGTTAAGGTTGCGTCCAAATTTTGGAGAACATTTGAAGGAAAGACATGTTACGGTGATCCCTGGACTAACTGTGATGGCAGTACAGTAGATATGGAGCAGACTAACAGGTGATGGACGGGCTTCCTACATTGTGTTGTCAATAACCTTGTCACTAATAACCAAACATTAGTCCAGTAACAATGTCACATTTACAGTTGATGTAAATAAAACTCTTGGATATCTATCATTAATTAATGATGGTGTTCATGATATGTGCCTGGTATTTTTTTGGCTTTACTCAAAAACCTTGTTCCTTACCAGAGGGGGTTATTTCTAATGACCTCCAATTATATTCTGCTAAATGTCAGAATACTGATGAACTTTGTTTTCCTTTTTAAATTAATTGAACGATGAACAACTCTCAGTCACAATTAAGGTATGCTTTTGAGTTACCAGAGTCAAATGGAGAAAGCACTTGTATCCATTAAATTACAAAAGGAGTTATGTGTGACTTCATTATAACAAAACAGCTGTGTATTAGATATTGATTAACCCAAAACAAAGTGATACAGGAATCATGGTCTCCTATCTGTCGATCGGTGGACAGAAGTTTGTCCAAAGTCACACTGCTGCTCGCTTTCTGAACCAATTTTGTTTATACTTTTATGATAGCTGTGTGCTTTTGATTAAGTTTTGATTCCAACTATTTTGTTTAGAGTTATTTCCCTTTTTCTGATATCAATTTTTTTTAAATGAGAGAGGGGTCATTAGCCTTTGGCTTATAGTTGGTGTTTTTTTAACGGTTTGGAAACAACGATAAACATTACAATCTACCTGAACATGTCCCATTCAGGTTGCTGACCAATACTACAGAGAGTACCAGGAGCTGTCCCAATACATTTAATAAGACACTAAGGGACCACAGGGAGGGACCTTGACATTGGTCCTGGTTTTGTATATAAAGGATCCTGATTTCTCCTGGTATTATGTATGACCAAGTTAAGGCTGAACTATGACGTCTCTTTGAATTATATAAAAAGTCAGCAGGTGACAGGAAAATTGATTTTATCTTTTTCCTTGTAATATACGAAACAAAGTAAAGGGGACACAGGGAGGGACTAAGACCTCTGTCCTGGAATTATACATGAAGTCAGGGGGCGAGGGAAAGGTTAATTTTATCTCTGTCCAGGATATAGTGAAAAAGGGGGAACTAAAGGAGTGATCCGATCTGAACATGTTGAAGTCTGGAGGACTTTATAGAAAATATGACCAGTCCTGATTCAGTATATATTGAACTTGGGGATAAACATATAGTTATGGTGATGTTAAGGGTTAGGGGTCATATTTATGAGGGTGTCAAGGGAGCCCCAGGAAAAGATTCAACCATTTGCCCTGATCTTATATATAAGGGTGACAAAGAAGCTACACCTGGGATAGATTTGTCCACCTGTCCTCATCTGATATTTAGGGGGCACAAGGGACTGATCCTGCCATCTGTCGTGATCTTACATATGGCACAACAAGGGGGCTTCAGAAAAATTAGGTCACACATCTTATATGTTGGAGCACCAAGGGGGCTTCAGGGAAATTAGGACATGCATCTTATATGTTGGAGCAGCAAGGGGGCTTCAGGGAAATTTGGTCACGCATCTTATATCTTGGAGCACCAAGGGGGCTTCAGGGAAATTATGTCACGCATCTTATATGGTGGAGCACCAAGGGGGCTTCAGAGAAATTAGGTCACGCATCTTATATCTTGGAGCACCAAGGGGGCTTCAGGGAAATTAGGTCACGCATCTTATATGTTGGAGCACCATGGGGGCTTCAGGGAAATTAGGTCACGTATCTTATATGTTGGAGCAGCAAGGGGGCTTCAGGGAAATTAGGTCATGCATCTTATATGTTGGAATCACAAGGGGGCTTCAGGGAAATTAGGTCATGCATCTTATATGTTGGAGCAACATGTGGGCTTCAGGGAAATCAGGCCCAAAAATCTAATAGGTTGGAGCCACAAGGGGGCTGCAGGGAAATTAGGCCCAAAAATCTAATAGGTTGGAGCAACATCAGGGGGCTTCAGGGAAATTAGGCCCAAACATCTTATAGGTTGGAGCAACATGAAGGCTTTAGGGAAATCAGGCCCAAACATCTTATAGGTTGGAGCCAAAAGGGGGCTTCAGGGAAATTAGGCCCAATTTCATATATTTTATATATGGGGTTGACATAGGGGCTGCAAGGAAATGCCAAAACATCTGTCTTGATCATATATTTTGGGACAATAACGGGGCTACTGGGACAGATACCAACATCTGTCCTGGTCATGTATATGAATGCCACAGGTTGTTGACTGGTATCAGCACACTATTATGTTAACACGTACAAGATTCACCTTAGGATATATGTTGTTTTTACAGTACTGTTGTGGTGTCTAATCCTTATAACATTTTCGTTAGATGCTAACACAGGATTGTACTTATGTTGTATACAGGTAACACTTTTTATTCCAAAATTACCTCACTGTTTTTTATTTCACCACATTTTTGTAATGTTTTTTTATCTGCATGACATAATCCTACACTTTGTTTCACATGTAGTTCCCATTTTATTTTCTTGTACAACTAATATAAATATTGGTGCCATGGTAATTTGTTTCTGTAGTTTTTTGTCTGTTTTGAGTGATTTTGATGCTGAAATTCACTTAGATTTCAAGGTCATTAATGATTCAATGTAACTTATGATTTTCCAAACTTTGTCAAATTTGCATGAGCTAATTCATGATTCCTTTAGAACCTGTTGATATTGTGTCATCTGAAAATACTCTAAGCATGTGTGTATGTGGTGGGTGTATGTATGACTCCTGTGGTGGTTTGCCTAACAGCCTTTGCTCTATTACTCCATTTTTTACTGAAGTAACCTTTAGGTGACCCATAGTCAGTTGTATTCAAAATGCACACCTGCTTGTTAAATATTTTGTGAATTGACAGCAGTGTTTCCTTGCTTTAGTTTGTAGGCCCTATCATTTTCCATGAAATGACCTACAAACTATAATTACCAGGAAACTTTCGGTCTATGAATAACTGTTAAAAGCTCCTCCATCATAATAAGATCATGCAATATGTACCTGATAATGATTAAGATTAAGTACATCTGGTGTTTCTGTATACAAGGAAATGTTTGCCCAGTCCACTTTCACCCTTTACCTGAAAAATCCAAACTTAAGCGGTTTTCATTTCACTTTTCACATCTAAGTAATGGTGTGCTGTGTACTCCTATTTGATTTCATGGTAAATTCACACTCATTTATGAGGGCGACAAAACAAGTATTAAACTGCGGCAGACATTTTTCCTGGTAAACAGTACATTGTAATCAGTTTAATATGTTTGTTGGAGACTTGGTTTATATAACTATTTGAATCACTTTGATCATGCATACTTTTATACATATTCATTGTTCAAAATAATGAGTGTAAAAATACTGCCACTATATTGAGTTTTGATAAAACTTATATATGGTAAGTACTCTTAGTGTAGATAATATAACTTGTTAGCTATTATGAATAATAAAAAAACATGTTTTGATGTTTATTACCTCAATCACCTTAACCTAACGGAGGTCATGATCAATTTGGCAGACCAATATATTGCCCGGTTTCATAAATAATATGTGCAAGGTCACTGTGACCTAATTATCATCGATAGGTTACAGTTACCAACCAATAGTATAATAAGGTCACTGTGACCTATTTATGGTTGATAGGTTACAGTTACCAACCAATAGTATAACCTTGTGTAAGGGCACTATGACCTATTCATCATTGATAGATTACAGTAATCAACCAATGCTAAAACCTTTTGTGTGATCACAGATGTATATGTGTAACACAGTGTTGTGTACCTGATCTTGGCTTTGGTATCTTCCACAGGGAAAGTGACGAGGAACAAATCAGTGACCTAAACCAATATGTCAATCCAGAATCGGCCACCACCCACCTTTGACTTAAGTGACCTTGGGCTTTGACCACTGTGTCGCTTTGGTTAGGGTCATCTTGGACAAGGATGGTTGACATTTGTAATTTAAGTTTTATATGACCTGTCCTTGGTTATGTATCCCTGTGCAAAACAAGGTCGTATAATGTCTAACCTTGGATGCTGACCTCATCTGTAACATTGGTAACCAATGACTGTGGAATGGATGTTGATCTCCGTATGATTTGTCATGTCATCAAATGACTTAAGATGTTATTCAATTTCCTTGTACACCAAATGTTTGTTATGACTTAATGATAAGACTCTTCTATTTTTTTAATCTGTAAAAATCATCCTCAAACGATCGAAATGCATCTTATACCGTGTATTTTTTAACACATAGTCAGTTCTAGTAAACTTGGCAGAATGTCTCATAGCATCATTAATGATATACTGTATATACCTTTTATGTAGATGATTGGGAATTTTCTACTAGCAGTAGAGCATCAACAAATAAGACATATATACCTGTCAACATACTAGAGACTGGTATGTTATATACCATGCATTTGAAAGCGGTGATATTCATCAGAGTGCAATTTTAATATTTCTATTTTAGATTTTTAAAAGCTTATTTTAATATTAATATATTATATTATATATTATAATATATTAATGTGTTTCTTACTAAGGTATGTTACATATGGCCTGGCTAAATACAGGAAGGATAATGTGTGTATGTTCATTCAGATTGGATGTTTTGTTCCAAAGTATATTGTAAACCAGACAAGCATTTTTTAAAGTAGTCTCAATCTACAGGTATATCACAGTTACAAGTAATAATGCATCATTTTAGACCTATAGCTGGTGCAAATTATTTTTTTTAATTATTATTTTTGGAAAGTCGCCTTTTACTTTCTATTTTGTGGCAACAGTGTAAATGTATAAATTACTAATCCCAACAGTGTTTTGAAGGATTCGTGTAATTATTTTGCTAAAACAATGCTAAGATGGAAAGTCTACAATAACTGTTTCAAAATTCATTTATTGTTGTTACATTCTCATTTCTGGCTTTAATTTGCTTGCTTTCCTGACTATACTGACCTATTATGGTACAGATGGCTAGGATGAACCCCCATCGTGTAGTAAGGATGGCCTATTGTGGTACAGATGGCTAGGATGAACCCCCATCGTGTAATAAAGATGGCCTATTATGGTACAGATGGCTAGGATGAACCCCTATTGTGTAGTAAGGATGGCCTATTGTGGTACAGATGGCTAGGATGAACCTCCATGGTGTAGTAAGGATGGCCTATTGCGGTACAGATGGCTAGGATGAACCCCCATCGTGTAGTAAGGACAACCTATTTTGGGACAGATGGCTAGGATGAACCCCCATCGTGTAGTCAGGATGGCCTATTGTGGTACAGATGGCTAAGAGGAACCCCCATCGTGTAGAAAGGATGGCCTATTGTGGTACAGTTGGCTAGGATGAACCCCCATCGTGTAGTAAGGATGACCTATTGTGGTACAAATGGCTAGGATGAACCCCCATCATGTAGTAAGGATGGCCTATTGTGGAACAGATGGCTAGGATGAACCCCCATCGTGTAGTAAGGATGGCCTATTGCGGTACAGATGGCTAGGATGAACCCCATTGTGTAGTAAGGATGGCCTATTGTGGTACAGATGGCTAGGATGAACCTCCATCGTGTAATAAGGATGGCCTATTGTGCAATAGATTGCATCATTATTATTTAATGTGTATCGCTTGTTGCATATGTATTAATAACAGTATTTTTTATTTATGAATTCTTTGTATATCATTGTTTTTCAATCATTTTGTTTGTTATATTTACTGATAACACCAAATTTGTATTTATATGAAACATTAATTTAAAATTTAAAATGTAGTTTATAACAGTAGGTTTAAATAGAAATTCTTTAGCTGAACCCCGCAAGATACCTTTCCTCAAAACGTCACCTGTAAATATCTACAAATGAAATGTGAACCAAGTTTGATCCTTTGTATACAAGAGCTCCCCAGGAACAAAGAGTTAGTGTTTCTGTTGTTCAGTGAACAAATCATTGTTTTGTTGAGTTCAGATCACCTGAGCATAGCTCAATCAACTTTTCCAATCCGGCTTCATCTGTTAACAATTTCACATTTTTGACCTCACCAAAACTGCTGCACTGTTTTCAATGAAATTGTGCTGGATTTAATGATCTAAATGGGCAAAAATAAACCAAAATTATAAGATACTATTCCAACCCCCCCAAAGGGAAGAAATTAGCTAAAACAAAACCTTTTCTTCTCCAGTCAAATATGATCTGAATGATGGAAATGTACTTTCTTTCAATGATTGTGAATTTAATTATCAAAATAGAGACCCTGACCCTGACCCTTCCCCCCCCCCCCCCTAAATTCCCACTAAAACATTGTGAACTTTATGCCCATGGGTCTCACCATCTCAAGTGAGGGGGCCAATTTCACTAATCCCCAAAAAACCCAGAAGAGTAAGGTTTAGATTTAATTTTTTGTATCTGATTTGACTAGCTATATACATCTACTAATATACTACCATTAGTTCCATCTTTCTCTACATAATAAACTCTACTTCACACCTCAACATAAAATATGTTACCATAGCAACATAACCCCACAAGTCATCGAAATGATATATACTTTGTTCAAAATTGTCTTTTCTTTGATGGAATACTGTAAAAATTAGATATAGTTAATTAATATCTCTAATCAAATGTCTTTATGATAAAAGATGTTCACAAAGTATTTAACTTTTCAAATAAAATTAATTTATATCACAAATACTCTTTATTTTCTATACAAATGTATACAACTTGACTGAATATTGTCTGCACTGGTCAATTTATAGGGGTATGTGTGCGATTTAAACAGAAATCCCCCCCCCCCCCCAAGTTGTCAATTGTGACCTTTGACCCTTTAATATGGACTAATGTCCAACAAAAATCTAAACAAATGTAAAACTTGATGCTAGGGTGTAAATATAAGCTAAAGCTGGACCATACAAACTAGGACCCACACAGCAGCTGATGCTTAAAGTAAGATGTACTGCCCAAGATGTATCTGTGGTATATATTTAATAGATCTGGGATTCAAACAGTTTGCGATACTATCCATAACACAGTTAAACTAGCACAAAAGTCACTGGACTGTACAAACTAGGACCAACAGTAGCTGATGTATCTTTGGTGTAACAAGGGCTTTTGATATACAACATATAACACAGCTAATCCGAAATGCAAGGACCTGACATTAGAGAGGACGATGAAGCCACTTGACAAGGAAATGTAGGCCAAATTCACTATCTGCTGAATAAATGGCAACAAAGAAGCCAAGATGCAAGTATGATCCAAATTTAGGACATCCATTGCAAGCGGGACAAAAAATGAAATCTTCATACATGTATACCACTGTTTAAAGATATTAACATATTTGACCCCTGCGACTGTGAAAGTAGGCCAAGGTCATTTATTTGAGGAAGCTTTATAGCACTCTGTCCCAGGTACCTACTGGCCCAAAATCATAGTGGCTCTAGGTCCTCCAGTTCTAAACAAGAGTACCGCGGGGCAGAACAAAATACGCCCGTCGAATGCCATATAGTGTTATATACTTTCTTACATTGAAATAAGATCTGCATCATTCTAAGAGCTGATATGCTATAAAAAATGTAGGAGAAAATCTTCGGACAAAAAAACAAATACTGAAATGCACAAAAGGTAATAAATTTTCCAAAAATCACCGAATCAAAATTCTTTTAAGGGAGACACAACTTCAAATTATGATTATAAAGTATACCGAGTTTCAAAGAGATCCGTTGAACAAGAGGCCCAATGGGCCTGCATCGCTCACCTGGTATAAATCTCACACTTGCAACCTTAAAAGTGATCTAAAATAAAGCTACAGCCAAAATATCAGTATTTATGATTAAAGTCATTCAAAAGAACCTGTTAAAAGATTTTAAAACATTTCACCCCTGTTATTTTGAAAGTCGAACAAAGTCGTTATGTTGAACAAATTGTATAGCCTTTCATCTCAGTATGCAACTTGCAAAGTATCAACATCCTGGGACCCATAGTTATTCAGAAGAGGTTGTTTTAAAAGATTTTAAACAAATTTGACCCCTGTGACCTTGAATATAAGTCAAAGTCATTCACAAATATCACCACCCTGTGCATTTTGGTTATTCAGAAGAAGTTGTTTAAAGTTTTTAACATATTTGCCCCCTGTGACCGTGAATATGGGTGAAGGTCATTCATTTCAACAAACTTTGTAGCCCTTTATCTCAGCACACTACTGGCCAAATATCATTACCCTGGGCATTTTGGTTATTCAGAAGAAGTTGTTTAAAGTTTTTAACATATTTGCCCCCTGTGACCGTGAATATGGGTGAAGGTCATTCATTTCAACAAACTTTGTAGCCCTTTATCTCAGCACACTACTGGCCAAATATCATTACCCTGGGCATTTTGGTTATTCAGAAGAAGTTGTTTAAAGTTTTTAACATATTTGACCCCTGTGACCATGGAATATGGGTGAAGGTCATTTATTTGAACAAACTTTGTAGCCCTTTATCTCAGCATACTACTGGCCAAATATCATTACCCTGGGCATTTTGGTTATTCAGCAGAAGTTGTTTAGAAGTTTTTAGCATATTTGACCGTAAGTATGGGTGAAGGTCATTCATTTGAACAAACTTGGTAGCCCTTCACCCAAGCATGCTACTGGCCAAATATCATCACCCTGGGAAGTTTGGTTATCAAGAAGAAGATGTTTATAAAAGTTTTTAACATATCCGACCCCTGTGACCTTGAAAATGGGTAATTAGGTCATTAGTTTTAACAAACTTTGTAGCCCTTCATCCAAGTTTGCTTCTGGCCAAATATCGACACCCTAGGCCTTTCGGTTATTAAGAAGTCGTTGAAAGTAAAATATTGACCCCGGACGGACGGACGCCGCGCCACGGCATAAGCTCACTTGGCACTTTGTGCCAGGTGAGCTAAAAATGTAGGAGGAGATTGCCGGACAAAAATCAAATACTGAAATAAACAAAGGGCAATAACTTTTGAAACAAGAGGCCCAGAGGGCCTGTATTGCACACCTGGATATCTAAGCAATCATGGCAAAATATTCTCCAAATGAGATCCGAGGGAATATGCCAGACCCCAAGGCCAATCCTTGTAGCATATCTGTATTTGATTTTTTATGCCAAGCAATTTTATGTATGGTTATGGGGTGGGGATCTCAACTGTTTCCAAGCTGTGACTCAGAAACTAGGTCCCTAGGGTTGTGGCCAGACCCCAGGATCAATTCTAATATCACGACTGCATTCGTCTCTTTATGCCAAACAATTGTATAATTATATAGTTTTGGGGTGGGGATCTTAACCGTTTCAAAGTTATGACCCAGGGGTTAAGTCTACAAGGGTGGGGCCAGACCCTAGGGCCATCCTGGAAGCAAATGTGCATTCCTCTCTTTATACTCAGCAATTGTATATATGTTTATATGGTGGGGATCTTAACCATTTCCAAGTAATATTTTTTTTTTGGCCCACCCGTAAGCCCGGGGGGTCAGCCCCACCATTTGTACAATTTTGAATCCCTGCCTCCCATGAATGCTTCCGCCCAAATATGATCAATATCTAGGGTATAGTTCTACGGAAATAGTTGTTTATAGCAATAAAGCCAAATTGCCCCCTTTTGGCCCAGGCCTCAGCCCCACCATTTGTACAATTTTGAATCCCCACCACCTAGGGATGCTTCCAGTCAAATATGGTTGATATCTATCTATTAGTTCCAGAGAAGAAGTCGCTTAAAGTAATATAGCTAAATAACCCTTTTTGGCCCCGCCCCTCAGCCACCACGGGGGTCAGCCACACCATTTGTACAATTTTGAATCCCTGCCTCCCATATACATGAATGCTTCTGATTAAATATGATTGATATCCAATGCATAGTTCTACAGAAGAAGTCGTTTGTAGCAATATAGTCAAAATGCCCCCTTTTGGCCCACCCCTCAGCCCCCTGGGGGGTCATCCCAACCATTTGTACAATTTTGAATCCACACCACCTAGGGATGCTACCAGTCAAATATGGTTGATACCCATCTCCTAGTTCCAGAGGAGATGTCGCTTGAGGTAATAGGATTGTGTCACCATTTCTCAGTAGAATTTCTTTAAATTTTGTAGTTATATTGCTTTAAAGTAAAGAAAAATTTCTGCCACAAAAAAAATATAGGTTGTCAGAATTTTAAGGTTTTTATAAATTATGTAAATCCACGGACTTCGATAACACGTATCTCGGTGACCCAGAAAATACGCCGTGGGCCATCACAACAGTTATCCCTTGGAGGGCCTCATGGAAAAATCAAACTAACCAGTCACGTATCCCTTCCTTTCGGATAAACCACTGTATAATTATAGAAACACAATGTAAACTCTCTCCAATACATGCCCATTAACAAATTAAACTAAGTGCCTCTGTGTTCAAACTCAGACAAAGATACTAGCGAGCTTAATAGTTTTAGATATTTATTCATAACATAAACAGCGCTAGCATTTCTGTCGATTCCATTTCAGCTTAACCGGCTATCCGGAAGAAAACATGCACCGTACTAATTGCTACGGCAGTTATTTTCTTCTTTGAATACTGCCCACCTGCAATAATGATTTCGTAACGTACTCCTTGTGCTATCTTTTGACCATTTGGCAACTTTTCGTTTCGTAGCTGACACGGTACAACACTTTTCTTTCGCTTACTTCACACGGCCAGTCATTTTGTTTACAAAGAAATGGTGTGCTATGCGCATGCGCTAGTAGAGGGAAATACCGGTCAGACAGGTAAAAATACTGATGATTTTCTTGGATTTAATCATTTTTATGAATCTATTTCAGCCAAATCCGATCGTTATTTTCCATAAGGAGTATCACTTGATATGTTTATGTTGTATTTGAAAAAAAAGACAAAAAATAAAGTTATTCACCGTTATGCCCCTTTAATGTATATCAATTTAATAAATGCTGAAATTGCGTAAAATTAATTCTCTATACACGATAGAAAAATTGACATTTTATAATAAAACCATATACACATAGTAATTGCAGGTAAGAGTTATTGTTCTTGAAAAACTTCACAGTAGTGAAATAGGTAGCCGGTTTCCTGAAGTAAAGAAAAAAGAGGCCCAAGAGGGCCTGTATCGCTCACCTGAATATTTAAGCAGTCATAGCAAAATATTCTCATTAAATATTATATTGCACTAAAAATATTTCCCTCGCAAACTTTGTTGGCTCCATCTGTTGAAACTACCAGCAAAATATTATTATAAGATTCTATGCTTTTTGATTCTTCTTCAGAAGTTGCTTGACATATTTTTCCCTGTGATCTTGTAAGTAGGTCAATGTCATTTTCCTTCTCAAATTGGTTAGCTCTATTCCAAAAAGCTACCAGCCAAATCTTATGAATCCATTCCTTTTAGTTCTCAAGAACAAATCCATTAAAATGTTGTTGACCTCTGTGACCTCTAAAGTAGGTTGAGGTCATTTTCATTTGCAAACTTTGGTGAGCTCTATCCCGGGAAGTCACCAGCCAAATATTATAATTTTATGCCTTTTAATTCTTCAGAAGAAGCTGTTTGAACTGTTTGACATATTTGAACGCTGTGACCTTGAAAGTAGGTCAAGGTCATTTTCATTCGCAAACTTTGTTTGGCTCTTTCCCAGGAAGCCACCTGCCAAATATTAAGATTTTATAACTACCAGTTCTTCAGAAGAAGTCGTTTAAAGTGT